AGCAAAAACGGCAAAGTAGGCTGGTGACAGTTATTCGAGCTGATTTCCCGAAAAAGAAGGGAGAAAACACTGACGAGATTGATCCGATGGCGTTTTGACTATGAGTCACACACTGCCGTTACGCTGTTTCGCTTAATGGCTCGTTTACAGAATCGTTCAGCAGATTTGGAAGTTAGATCAGCGTTCGAAGACACTTCAAGGGGTGTACATCTCTTCCTGAATGTCCATGGCGACCTAAGACCCTTCGTTGTTAGCATTTCATAAACCTCAAAGAGCGGTGCCATAGCTTTGGAGAAATTCCTCTTTCAAGTAGAGCCACGCAATTCATCATCCAGTAGCACAGAGACTAATGATTCTCCAAAATTATTTTGGAGCATGCCAATGCGTTCTTAGCCCCTTCGGTTCAGCTCCACAAAAGATGGGCTTCTGGCTTTCTTCACAGGCGCACCATGTGGCATCGCCCATTTTAACGGGACCTAAGTGTTATTGGTAGTATGTTTAATGGTCCCTCTTTCAGGCAGAAAACCAACACAACTACAACAAACTCACTGCGGCCGAGTCCATCAACTATACACCGTACGAATATGGCAGTGCCATGCACTACGATACTAAATCGTAAGCGGCTTAAACCAATAGAGTAGAGATCCCCTTTCACATATCATTTTTAGATTCGCCTCAAGTGGACAGTCTCTGGTCCCCAAAAGCCCAAGATTTCTGTACACGATGGGATCGCAGGAGGTTTCATTCTACGACATATCTCTGATCAACTTTCATTACAAGTGCAATGGTGGGTGATGTATGTAGCTTTTTATCAAAGCTGCGATTGTATTCATTCTGTTTCAATGACGCTTCCCACATCAACTTTTTGACAAGGATTGGTCAATTACTTCTCAACTGTACACTTCTTCTGCTGCAATTCCGCATTTGTCGATGTTAGTAGAGGCAGAAAACTGTCTGTCTAGTGATGACTGGCGGACGAGAAAAGGGTAGTAGGTCATGTTTTTAAGGAAGACAAGATTATTCACAAAGAACAGATGACGGTTAAGAGCTACAGGAGAGCGAAATTCTCCCCTGTGCTCAACGCTATTTTTTGAGAGGATTGTAAGGACGAGGTTTTCTTGTACCTGATAATAGCATTTCATGCTACTATCGACATCGTCAGCCAAAAAAGTGGAGTGTTCCCATGAGGGAGCCCCTTCAGGGACTTGTTGTTCCATCTCAAAATTTTTTTACAACGTGATTGTTGAATCTGGTTGGATGCCCCTCTTGTCGCGGTGTATGTCCATTTTGGCGAATTTTTGTAATTGGTGGAAAATCCTCCTCCATCATTCCTCTCACCAAACGTCATAGCTGCATTTTCAACAGTTTCTGATATTCGACATTTTCGGTTTGGTCTTTGAATTCTTTGATGTCGAATCTGTTATAGGCATATGTGCAACCAAAGGTGCAGCATGTGTGAACGGAGGAAAACGGAATCCAAAGAACTGTGCTGCATGCATTTGTCCTGCCGGCTACGGTGGCGCGCTGTGCAACCTTCGGGTGAGCCGTTCTCAGTTATATGATTCAAAACTTCTAATTCGATGTCAAACATGCAAGTTGGGACAAAGAGGTGTGTATTATATGGTAGGACGTTAAAGAGGCAATTTCAGCCAGCAGGGTGTGGCGCGGTGTTGACAGCAGGTCCAACCTGGAAATCGAAAGTGGTCACTGTAGGTAACGCCACGAACCCAGGGCTCCGCGACACTTACGCAAAGTGCAATGACTGGATCAAGGTCTGTTAGGAAACTATGCATAACTGAGACTGGAAGAATCTTCATAAGAACTACTCTGAACATCAGGAAATGATTCATTTTCAGGCTCCAGCCGGGAAAAAAATCCAAGTTCAGGTGACCAAAATGGTAGGAGTTGATTGCCGTTATGGTTGCTTG